TTGATGGGGATTTGTGGCCATGCATCTTTTACTGTGATCATTTTTCAAAAGTTCAAACATTCACTGTACTTTTCACCACACCTTGTAAAAACAGAGAGGACAGCAGAAGATGGATGTACTTGCCTGCTATGTCGTGTTCAGTCCTCGAAGCTCGTGGGGTCACCCGTGCTTGAGTGCTTCACTCTCTAAAAACCCTTGAGCATGAGTGGACACACCCTTGTTTTCTAGGAGTTGCCCAAATCATGAGGATTTCTGCACCGGAAAGGACTTGTGGCTTAAGGATCCTTCCAGCTAATGGAGCACGCCAAATAACACATGTCCAAAACACAGCTCTGCATTCCTTTTTAATGTGTCAATGCATGCTTCACGGGGAGTTTGCACTATGGCTGGCAGATACCTGCACGTGCAGGCATGGAGGTGTGAGTTCCTGTCTTCGCTTCCCCAAAGTGGCATGAGCGGGCCAAGCTGAAGTCCTGCCAGCAGCGGTCGGTCGGGAGGTAATGGAGCGCTGTTGAGATTCCGCACTCACCACCTATTTATGCGTAGAACAGTGTTTTCAGAGGTTTCCCCCGGGGAGAATCTGTCTCACAGCTGCAAAACCCGGCCACCATACCTACAGGCTTTAGGGAGTGCTCCGGTGAGCAGAGGTCAGCACAAGGAAGCCTCGAGCGGATTACAGCAGCATGGTGGCTCCTCATCAGCCTTCCAGTTTGTGCCCGAAATAGAATTAGGATCAGGAGCCCAGAGGAATCCTAGCCCAGCCCAACACCACCAGGCCAGGAGACTGGTGCCTGCGCCTTACGACAAGCGACTTCTGGACTGTGGGAAGACCCGGTGGCTCTCTGGAGAACCTGGGTCTGCATTGCAGGTGCTGAAAGCAGGCTGACCTAGAGCCGAGCTGCCGGGAAGGCTTGCTGTTTCCCAGAACGAGGCTGCCAGGGGCTGATCTCCTGTTGCTCTTTGGCCTGCATAACTAAAGCCCTGGGCTTTGACCAGGAGCCCAGAGGAAACCACTGCTTGCTTCCCAGAAGGGCAGGATGCCGGATACCCTTGACTTCTCCATGTAAAAAAAACACATGTTTTTACAAATATATTTTACTGTTACCCTAATTTGATCATTGTACATTATAGACAGGGTATGATTTAAAATATACCGAACACTGCTGCCGAGCGCCGTCCGGAGGAAAGGCAGCTCGTGAACACACGGCGCTGTGTCCTCCTCCACCTGAGTCACCGCAGCTGGCACCGTGCGACTCCCGGCTCCTCCCCCAGGTCAGGATGACCGGGAAAGGTCACCATTCTGAGTCCACTCGGGACATCGAGGCAGCCGGGAAGGCGCAGCTAAAGACCCTCAGGAAAGAGGACTCCAGAGCTGCTGCAGAAGGGGCCCGGACAGGGGGAGGAGGGTGTGCACAGCCGGGGAACTTCGTAGCAATATGTGTCACTGTAATAAATTTTTAAAAAAATTAAACATTCAGTGTATATTTTGATCACATCTGATACTAGTATGGAATTATCACACGGTGCTTCAGAAATTGGTGCAGTTAAAACAATAAAAAAACGTATATGTTGCCACTTTATTTTTGAGGACCCGTGCTTTTACATTCATCATTATTCTACTGTTTTATTTCCAGATTTTAAGAAAAATTCATTTGAAACGCTGTGAGCAGTCTGAGCCCCGAGCCCTGTTCCTGAGGATTTCTGATAAAGACGTTGGCCCCGGGTCTCCCAGAAGGCCCAGAATGGCCTGGTGCCATCTTGGAAGCTGGCTTCTGTCCCCTCCACTGGGGACCAACCTGCTGCCCAACGTTTATTGGCAAGGATGATTTCCAACTTTCTTTGCCCGTGCCTCTTCCATTCTCAAAAGTGTCCATCAATTTCCTTAAAAAAATGGAAGCCAGCCTTGTACCTTCTTACAGATCTGCACACCTGGCTTTGAGTCTGTTTCTCTAGTGGGCACTGACGGATGCAGCCTTTGGTGCCGAGAGCAGCTCTGGAGAGACAAACTTTCAAAGGTGGGATTCTCTCATGGCTCTGCTGGTCCCCGAAGTTGGCTGTCTCCTGTGGTGAGACCTCCAGGCACCGTGGGGCCGCCTCCTACTTCTGCCAAGGACAAATGAATAAAGCAAAATGAGCAGCGCCAAGATTCAAATTCCCAGCTGCAGATGCAGATCAAGAATTTTTAAGTGGAACAGTGGTGCCAGAAACACACACCTGCAGCAGGCCGAGTCCGTCCAGATGCCCGCTGAGCGGGGATCTGAATTTGATGCTGCAGCTCGTGGGGTAAACAAAGGAGTTAAAAGCAGTACAGAAGTGCAGCACTCGGGAGGCTGAGGCAGGAAGCTTGCCCGTGAGTTCACGGCCAGCCTGGGCTCCATAGTGAGTTCAGGTCCAGCCTGGGAAACCCAGAAAACGTACCTGCACCGGCGCCTTGAGAAACATTCGTCAGGGGACCACCGCACCCCGAAGGCCTGGGTCACTGTTTGGACCTCACAACGGTTCCTCAGTTGGGAAACTTAAGGGTGGGGCGGGGGTTGATGGGGCCCCAGGGTGGTTGGGTCCAGTGGCTACAATGTTTCCAGAAGGGAAACCCTCAAAGCTTTTACTAGATTTGTGTCATGGGAAAAACGTAAGGGCGATGAACAGAAACCTGCTCCCAGTCGGGGTAGGGGACCTGAGAGGATTTTGGCCCGAGTGACTCTACCCTGGGGGAAGGGGGGTGATCAGGCATTTGGGGGGACTGGACACTTAGGTTCTGCACTGACACTGACTTCAGGGGGTCCAGACCGGCACTGTGGCCCCCAGGAAGAGTAGGGGTCCATGCAGGTCGGATGAAAATGGGTCAGCGGAAGGCCGACACACAGTGGGGTCAGCAGGTCCTTGAATTCACCCTGTCCGCATTGGCCCGTTCGGTGGGCGCCGGGGGTGCCCAGGTCGGCATGGCCCAGAGGTGCCAGGCTCCGGGAGGTCTGCTGCAGTCACAGTGAGCCCATGGGGTCCCACGGGTGTTCTCCGGAGGCCGGGTGGGCTCCCCCAATGTTTCAGGCTTCTCCTTGGCAGGGGTCTGCTGGGGACCCCGGTGGGGGTCTCTGACCCAGGTGTGGGCCTCAGGGGTGGCCGGACCAGGTGACAGCCTGTGACTGCCCAGGTCTTGGGGGGTCTACACCCCACGAGGGGTCTGAGGTCCCCTGGGGCCGGGTGTGAGGGTGTCTGGCCCCTGGGTGGGCCAGGCCGGGGTCAGTAAGTGGACCTGCAGTCTGGGGGCTTTGTGGGGGGTCTCGGCTTGGGCCAGTAGCCTTTGTGGGTGCCTGTGGTCCAATTTGGGGTCGGAGGTCCCCATGGGGTTGGAAGGGGGCCAGGGGCCTGGGGTCAGCCCGTGAGGACACGCAGTCCTGGTGAGATTCCGTGGGAGTCGTGTTGGGGTCCACGATGGGATTCCGAGGGGCTCTGGGATCCCTACATGGGTATGGGGTGCCCTGCTATTTGGGCCGGGGTCCAGCTGCAGGGCGAAAGCTCCTGTGTGCACTATTGGCCCCAGGGCTCCTGCTGGACCCTAGAGCTTCCTCTGAGGGCGCGCTCTGCTCTGCAGGGGGGAGCCGGGACCAGGAAGGCGCGTCTCAGCTCGGTCAGCCAGAGCTGCTCTTCCGGTAGGGGTTGGGAAGCTGGTCTGGGGTCCCCATGAGGCTGTGGAGGATTAGGGTGTCACTGGGGGTGTGCGGGGTCTGCAGGCCAATGAGGGTCCCGGGCTGGTTTCCGGTCCTGGCACTTTTGGGGTGCGGGGTCCGCTAGGGAGCTTGGGGATTCGGGCGGGGGTCCGGGCAGGGACTGGGGGGCAGTCTGAGGTCCTGGGGATCGGGGTTCGGGTGCAGGCTGAGGGGTACTCGAGGGGAGGTCTAGATGGGGATTCAGGGGTCCAGGCGGGGGCTGGGGTGTGGTAAGGTCTTGGGGTGCCGTGGGGGGCGGCGACCACTTGGGTGTTTTGCGGTCACAGGCAGGGAGCAGGGTGGGAGGAAGTGGCTGAGGAACCCAGGGTCCCCAGCGAGGGGTCCTGGCCCAGGCGAGGGGAGGGGGTGCGGGGGTAGAATCGGGGTTCTGGGGGGTCTGGGGGGTCCGAGGTCCCAGGGGCATTCGAATGGAGGTCCGGGGGAGGATGGGGGGATCTGAGATTCCCGGGGACCAAGCCACGCAGGGAAGGGACCAGGGCAGGCGTTGTGTGGTGTCGGGGGTCTGCGTGCACGGGTTCAGGTGGGCGTGGGGGATCTTAGGTCCCCGGGGCTCCAGGAGGGACCTGGGGGGGACTGGTGGTCTGCAGGGGATGCAGGGGGGCTGGGTGGGGGAGGGGTGCATTTGGGCTGGGCGGGGGTCCCCCGCGGAATGGGGGGCTTTGAGGAACCCACGGTATCCAGGCCGAACTGGAGGGGGGGTTCGTGCTTAGGGGTCACCAGGTGGGGGTCGGGGGAGGACTGGGGGAGGGGCACGACGTCCGGGGTGATGCGGGTGGGGGTCCAGGTGACATCACGGTGGTGAGGACCTGGGGTCTTGAAGGTCGCCAGGGGCTCAAGACGAAGGGGGAGGGGCCTGAAGTCCCTGGGGTAACCAGGCAGGGTTCAAGGGCAGGGGGAGGGGCCTGAGGCGGGGGGGGGGTTTTGGGGGTCCAGGCGGAGACCTGGTGGTGGCCTGAGGTCCAGGGGGGCACCAAGCGGGGTTCACGATGAGGGGGGGAGGGCCCTGAGGTCCGAGAGTCACCAGGCAGGCAGGGGTGGCGGGGAAGGGCTTGAGGTCGCGGGGTATGCGGGTGGGGGTCCAAGTAGGGCCCGGATGTGGTGGCCTGAGGTCCAGGGGGGCACCAAGCGGGGTTCACGATGAGGGGGGAGGGGCCTGAGGTCCGGGGGTCACCAGGCAGGGTGCAGGGGAGTCGGGACGGGGCCCGGCATGGGCGTGGCTCGGAGCGTGGGCGTGGCCCGGAGTGGGCGGGGCTGGGGCAGGCCCCTCCCCGCTGCGGCCCGCGCAGGCTAGGTGGGCGTGGGCATGTCGCCGACTCGGTCGCCTTTGTCCGCGTTGCGGGCGGCCCTGCGCGTCTACGCGGTCGGCGTGGCGCTCCTGGCGCTGCAGCTCCTGCGCCGCTGCCGCGGGGGCTTCTCGCAGCCAGGTCGGCGGGGCGCGGGGGCGCGATCGGGGGGCGCGCGCAGAGGGGGCGCCACGGGGACCCCGGAAGCGGGGCGGGCGCGCGCCGGGCTTGGGGACCCGGGTGGGGGCGGGGTGGCCGTGACGCGCGCTGGGGAGGAGGGGCCTGGGGCGTCTGGGGGGGTCCCTGCGCCCCGAGTTCCCCCGCTGCGCCCCGGCTGCGCGGGGCCGGGGTCCGTCCCGGAAGGGCCCCCCAGACCCTCCCACGGGACGCGACCGAGCCCCGGGGCCCCGCGCCCCCGACCCCCGAGCCTCTGCCCCCCACCCGGGAGGACGGGGCTGCGCCCGGAAGGAGGCAGCGCGGGGCCCGGGGAGCCACGGCGGGTCGGGGGGGTGCTCCTGGCGCGACCCCGTCTCTGCGTGCGAACCCCGCGGCCTCGTAGTTCGGCGTCTGACGCTCACAATGCGGCGAGTGTAGGTTTACGACCGGCTCCCGACCGAGGGTGTTCGGTCTGCCCGGGGAGCCCAACTGACAGCTGCTTCCTTTTGCCTGGTCGCACTTCTGGGGCCTCGGGTCTGCTGGGCGAGCGCCCTGAAGCCCAGCTGCTCCCAGGCCTTTGCACGTTCACCGTGTGTTCCTGCGATTCTCCCTGGGCCCTTCCTGCCTCGGCCTCCTCGGTAGCTGCGAAGGCCCGGGACAACTTTATTTTTCAAACTGGAAAGAATGCTTTCCGCTGATAAAGTCTTCCAAGGCAAAGCGCGGGGCCTGTAGCTCTCAAATCCCCGCCTTCGCCCCGAGCATTTTGCAGGCTGGATTCTGGTGGAGAAAGTGTTTTCCTCCTCTGCTCCTGCTCGGGGAGGGTCCCGGGCCGCACCTTTAAGAACTGCAGCTGTTGCAGGAGTAGAGGTTTCTAAGTGAGCTGTGCTTGCTCAAACCCCGCCAGAGGGACGAGGAATGCTTCCGTTTCACAGGAGCTGAGCTGTCTGGTGTCTGGAGAAACTGAATATTTTTTGTTGTTGTTTTGTTTTGGAGTAAGTGAGGGCTGAAAAGAGAGTAGGGAGCCATTAATTGTTCCTGCAGGCCGCGGGCAGGCCCAAGCCAGCAGTCTTTCGGTGAAGCCTAATGCCAGGGCAGGTGGGCGCTATTTAAAGCCGCCGGCAGTGCCTGGATTATGTTGCTTGGGGAGAGGGACCCCTTGTCCTGCCCAGGGAGCGTTAAACTGAGAAATGAATTTAATTCTGCAGACTTAACTGTAGCAACAAACCAGAGCGGAGAGTTTGGAAAACCTCGTGTGTGTGTGTGTGTTTGTGTTGTGCCTTCCAAACTGGGGCTGCCTTGTTCTTTCCCGTCTGTAGATCCGAAAAAACAAAATTTTATAAAAAATATGTGGTGGTGCTTTTGAGCCAGGCCCGTCGGTAACACTCAATCCCGGAAGGCAGGGCTGAGCAAGCCCTGTAGGAGCAGACAGAGGCCTCACTTTGTGCGTTGCTCGCTGAATTTAATTCTTTCTCCTGCCTCTTCGGACTGGAACGGATTTGAGTGACCCCTGGGAGAATTTTCTTTACATTTCGCTGCTGCTGGCGGGCCGGCTTCCTCTCCTTCAGAACCTGTTTGCTTTTGAGTTGTAGGCCTCGGGCTTCAAGATGTGTTTTGCTTTGCCTCAGCTGGGGCTCGGAAAGTTTGAGCTTTGCCCTGGGTTTGGAATTTAACCTTTAGTAGAGGGACGCTTCCTGGTGGCACCTTGTGGGGCCCTTTGCATTTTTGCTTCTTACAATCAAAACGAAAGGAGCCTGCTCCTCAGACCTTTGGGCTGTGTCCGTTATTTGCTGTGTGCACAGCTTACTTTTAATTTTTTTTTTAATCTTACGTGCGTGTGTTTGGGACATACTGAGTACACGCAGCCTGGGAGATTTAGCTTCCTAGACCTACACCACCCGGATCCTTTTGTTTCGTCATCCGTTGTGCAAAGTAGACAAAATTTATAACTCGCTTCTAACGGGACTTTTGCTCACAGCTCTGGGGAAGATGAAGTCCTTGGGCTTTTGATTCCATTTGTGTGGAGCCTGAACTGCATCTCTATCCGTTGCTCATTTACCTTGTCAGAAACAAAACGAATTCAAAGTATATTGAATGCTCAGAAGTAATAGTAACAATCCAATTGCGTGCAACTACCCGAGGCACATAGATTTTCTTTCTTTTTTTTTTTTTGCAGCCCAGCCCTCCATTTTATTTTTAGTCGACTGCTGACATCTGTGTATCCTTGAAGGCCGAAGCGTGAAGTTTCATACATGAACCCGTTGGGGAAGGATGGAATTGAGATGCTTGTCATGTCAGCTGCTGTGGTTTTTTATTTTTATTTTTTCCAATGAGACTTTATTTCATATTTTTTACAATTTTCTTGTAGTACTGGGGTTTGAATCCGAGGCCTTTCCCCCTTGGCCCTTTTAATATTTTTTTATTTTCCTATGTTTTTATTTCCCTAAGTTGCCCAGGCTGGACTAGAACTTGAGGATCTCAGACTTCTTCATCATGGAACTTTTGACTCTGACGGGAACTGCTAGGACCCTGCAAAGACCTTTTATGTATGTGGGTTATCCCAGTCCACACCTGCTTAGAAGTCCAGAGAGAAATTTAGGAAGGACGCGACACATTACATCACAGTGACAACATCAAGCCCAGGGATCCTAGCCCTCTTTGGAGGCTGACTCAGGAGGATCTTGACTTGGATCCTAGCTTGGGCAACTTAGTGAGTTACCAAGACCCTGTCTCAAAGTTTAAAAAGAAAAGTATGTGTGTGTGTGTGTATATATATAAATAAAAGAAAAAGGCTGGGGATCTAGCTTAGTTGGAAGGCCCTTGGTTCAATCCCTTGTACTGCAAAAGAAAATAAAGGAATAACCATAAGCCAATTACATGTTGCTGCCCGCAATATATACACTTACATTTTATATTTGATTTTATTTAGTTTTTGGCTGTGCTGGGGATCAAATCTAGAGGCTCACATGTGCTGTGCCCACACTGTACCCCTCGGGTCCTATGTTACACTTTTTTTGTGGGAAGTTCTTTTGAGACAGGGTCTCACTATGTAGCCCAGGCTGTCCTTGAACTCACAGTGATCCTCCTGCCTCAGCCTCCTGAGTGCTGGGATTATTGGCGTGCACCAGCAGGCCCGGCAATTTTTAATTGACAAATAATAGCTGCATATATTTTCAGGATATGACGTGATGTTTTGATGCATGTATACATTGTGGAAGAGTTAGTAGTTGTGCTTATTATCTTATTTGTAGTGAGAATTTCCCACTTCTTGGTCATACTGCCTTTGATTCCCACAGAAAATAAGGGGTTCCCCCAAGAGCTTTTGCATATGTTGGTTCTACCAGTTGATAATTCATCTTATTAAAAAGCAAAACAAATTTAAGGCATATTTAATACTTTATTTAAAAGGAAAGTAAAGGCTGATAGCATTTTGCTACCAAATATCTATACTTACTTTAGTATTTTAATTTTCATTGAAAAATAAAAATTTTGTAAAAGGAGTAATCTAAAAATATAGTGAATGCTTAAATGAAAAAAAAAGTTTTTTTAAATTAAAAGACATCACCACGAATCCCCTCAAATCCCCCCCGGCTGTGCACACCCTCCTCCCGCTGTCCTGGCCACCGTCCGCAGCAGCTCTGGAGTCCTCTTTCCTGAGGGTCTTTAGCTGCGCCATCCCGGCTGCCTCGATGTCCCGAGTGGACTCAAAACGATGACCTTTCCCGGTCATCCTGACCTTGGGGAGGAGCACGGTGCCAGCTGCAGTGACTCGGGTGGAGGAGGACACAGCGTCGTGTGTTCATGAGCTGCCTTTCCGCTGAACGGCAGCAGTCACCATGTTTCTGATCACAGGCGGTGAAGCCCTCAGGAACGAGGACCCCAGAGCTGCTGCGGGCAGTGGCCAGGACAGCGGGAGGAGGGTGTGCACAGCCGGGGAGGATTTTGAGGGGGATTCATGACCATGGGTCTTACAATATCAAAGTTTAAAATATAATTTAAGCATTCACTGTATATTTCAATCAGGCTAAGACCTTCACACTGATCCAAAATTCGAGACGTTTAAAACATTTTTGCTTTTAAAATTTTGGAACAGGCCATTAAGTTGCCCAGAGCAGGCTGGGACGTGCTGTCCTCCTGCGTCAGCCTCCCAAAGTTCTCAGATGCAGGTGTGCACTCCAACTCCCAGCTTCCGAGTTGCTTGCTTGTTATTAACATACTTATTTTTTGCACCAGGAATCAAACCCAGGGCCTCACGAATGCTATGCACATGTCCTACCTGTCAACTACACCCTTCATCCTACTGTTTCACTTCCAGCTGACCAACGGTAATTGGATACGGTAGCCTGGCGTGGTGGTGCACACCTGTTATCCCAGCACGTGGGAGGCTGAGACAGGAGGATCACACTGACTTCGAGGCCAGCCTGGGCTACATAGGGAGACCCTGTCTCTGACCCCCCCCCCAACGCATATGTTTACAGGGATGTAGCTGTACTTAATGGGATGTTTTCAGACCGCTGTACGAAGTGCAACGATGAAATCAAGCTGAAATGCATCCTCAGTTGTTGTTTTTTTGTGGTTAGAATTCTACACTTCTCGATCGTAGAAGCTTTGATTCTTGCAAAATTACGTATCTATGTCTGTGTCTGTCTGTCTATAAATATGGACCGCAGTGAGCTCTTATTTCTGTGGGTTACACCAGTGGACAAGTGACTTTGGTAGACGTCAAAGGAGAAACTTAGGCTATCATTAGGAGTTTATCTAACAGGAACAATGACAGGCCAATTGCATGTTTCTAAACACAGCGTTTGGTGGTGCTTATTAATTGTAGCACTTTTTCACTGAGACCTAGCATACGTACGGGCTGCCCTGCAGCGTTTCCATCGGGAAAGACTGCATTCAGTCAGTAGCTGTCCTCACAACCTACTTACCGTTTTTTTTGGTAGTGAAAACATTGAAAATCGCGACAGCAGGTTTTTCAAAGGTTAGTATTTTATTTTTTAAAATCTTTACTTACGTAAACAATGAAAACAAAACTTAGAACTTGCGGAGCATTGTTACGAAGGAGAGCTGATGCGATGAGCGATCGATCCTAGAGCCCGTTCCTTGTGTTGCAGTGCGGCTCGGTGCCGTGTGAGCTGTTGTTTTTGAAAGAAAAAAGAAATAGTTTGCAAAGGAGAAGGAGAAAGTGGGCATGAGAGTGGACACAGGGCTGGGCCCGGCACGGGCGCGTCCAGTGCTTCTTCCGGAAGTGCAGTCGGTATTTCCGATCTCCTCTGTTCCCTTTACTCACTTTTCACATCCAGGATCTTGAGGGTCTGTGCTTTCAGCGGCTTTGAAACCTGAGACGCGTTATTGTGAACCTGCTGCGGTCACATCTCCTCGGGAATATCTGGAAAATCAAGGGTGTGGAATTAGAAATCACAGGGAGGACCCGACCAGACTCCCAGGAGTCCTGGGCCAGAGTTGCCCATGGAGGCCAGACCGGCCTGTAGGCTGAGGCAGGAGGACCTCAAGTTTCAGCTCAGCCCGGGCAACTTGGCGAGACCCTGTCTCAAAAGTACAGGAAGGGCTGGGGATTGGCACGTTCAACCCCAGTATTGAAAAAGAAAAACCCAAACCACGCCGCAACTGTTGAAAAAACAAAACTTCCCTCCAGAACCTGTTCCAGCCAAATACTGTCACTAGTAACAGCAACAAGAAGCATGGGGTATAGAATTTTTCTCTGACACCAGGAGGTCTTTCCATGAAACAGTGATGGTAATAAATGATGATGAAACAATTATTAGAGGTAAAATTTCCCCCTGGTGCCGTGATCACTTCCTGGCTAAAAATAATGATAATAATAGTAATAACAATAACAATAGTAATTGTTAGTATCAATAGTAATTGATAATGATGGAATATAAAACTTTCTCGCATCTCTTTCTGCAAAATAATAACAGTAATAATAATAATAATAATAATAATAATGAAAGCCAGGGATTTAGCTCAGTGGCACTGTGCCTGCCTCGCAAGCATAAGGTTCTGAGTTTGATCCCGGGTAACAACAAGAAAAAGCAATAATAATGAAGAAGAATTGAATACAAAAGGCCCTTTCAGTCTAATAATAATAAATGACAATAGTGAATAATATATTTATAATAAATATAATAATAAATACGTAATATTTGGTCGTGCATGGTTATATTTATATAATTACATACTATTATATAGTTGTTGTTGTTGTTGTTGTTACTAGTTTTTGAGAGAGGGTCTGGCTATGTAGTTCAGGCTGGCCTGGAACTCACAGACATCCTCCTGCCTCAGCCTCCTGAGTGCTGGGATGACAGGCGTGCACCACCTTGCCTGGGCTGTCAATAATTGTTGAATATAAAATTCTTCAGGTACAGGAATCTTTTTCAACCAAATCACTGCAACAGTAGTAGTAGTAGTAGTAATAATAATAATAATGACAATAATAATAATAATTGTATACAAATTTTCCCTGCAGGTCCTGGGATGTCTTCCCATCAAATAATGTTAAAATTATGATCAAATAAAAGGCTGTGCCTCCAGGGGCTGGAAGCTGTTTCTGCCAGATAAGAAATGATAATAATTGAATACCGATCTTCACTCTGGATCGCAGGATATTTTTGCCAAATAAAAATAATAGGGATTATAAATGAACATTGAATATAAAACTTTACTCAAGGTACGAGAACTCATTTTTAGTTGAATAATAAGTGAATATAAAATTGCTCCAGGCCCCAGGGCATAAGAGCCAAATAATAACAATAATAATAAAGTAACTGAATGCAAAAATTTTCTCCACCTCGCAGGAAGAAAGATAATAACAGATAATAAATAGATTATTAACAAAGATAAGTCAACATACATTTATTTAGTTAGTTAGTTTTTGTATTTTTGAGACAGTGTCTGTTTGTAGTTCAAGCCGATTCTGAACTCACCGTGTAGCCCTGGCTGGCCACAGACTCACAGTGATCCTCCTGCCTCAGCCTCCCTAGTGCTGGGATAAGAGGCGTGGGCTACCACGCCCAGCTTCAATAAATATTTATTTTTTAAAAATTGTTATTAGCCCACGTTTGTAGTACACAATGATTACCTTCATCATGGGGAGTTGGTGTGTGTACTAGCACATTTTAATTCTTTTTATATCCCTTTTCTCCCCCTATTAATAAATAGTTATGGATTATAAAGCTGCCTTCCCTGTATGCAGAGTAGCTGAGTAATTATAATCCCAGAATATAAAAGTACTTCAGGTTCCAGAGCTTACCAGCTTAATAATAATAAGAATAACAACAGCGATAATAATAAACAGTAACCGAATATAAAACTTTCCTCTGGGTACCAGGAAGTCTCCAGTCAAGCAATAATAAAAATAACCATCAAGTACAACATTTCCTCTGCCTACCAGAAAACGACAGGCACAGTAAATCATCAAAATCAGATACAGAACTTGCCTCCGGGTGGGTAGAAGGCCATTTTTTTGGCAAAATAGAAATTAATAGCAATAATAATAACTATATGTAAAACATTTTCTTTTCTAGTCAAATAATATTAATAATAATTGTAATAGAAGAAAGGGCTATATTCAATAACAACTGGGGTCTGGAGCAACTTTACTTTCCGAGTACCAATAATAATAAAAATAGTGATACTCGTAGGGAATGATGATTGAATAGACCTTTTCTTCTAGTTACCAAGACCTCTTTCCCAATAGTAATAATAATACTGGTAATTATAAATAATAATAATAATTATTATTTTTTGGTACTGGAGATCGAACTCCTGTCCTTGCGCTTGTGCAGCAGGCAGCGAAACCACTGAGCTAAATCCCCAGCCCATATATATTTTGCCTTGTTAAAAAAGCTTTTTTTTTTTGGTACCGGGGATCGAACTCGGATCTTGGTGCTTGCAGGGCAGACAGCGAAACCACTGAGCTCAATCCCCGACCCATAAATAATTATTGAATCTAAATCTCTCCTCAGGTACCCATCCCTTTTATTTATGTATTTATTTTGAGACAGGGTCTCACTGTGTAGCTCAGGCTGGCCTGGAACTCACTGTGTAGCTCAGGCCGGCCTCGAACTCACGGCGATCCTCCTGCCTCAGCCTCCCAAGTGCTGAGATGACAGGCATGCGCCACCTCGCCAGGTCCAAACACCTCTTAGCCTAATAACAGCAATACTAGCAATAACAATTATCGACTGAAAGTTTCTCGCTGGTACCAAGACCTCTTTCAACCTAACAGCTACAACAACAATAACTGTAACAATAATCGATTATGAAATTATGGCAGCTCTGGGGGTCTGCTGATAAACAACAACAATAATAGATAATAATAACTGAAAACAAAACTCTTCTCCGGCGAGAAAGACCTGTTTCAACCCGGTGACGCCACCACCGTGCGTAATAACTGAGTCTAACCGCCCCCCGCCCGGGTCCCTGGCCCACAGATCTGTTCCGCACAGCTGCTCTGGGGTCCCCTCTGGCCCCGTCGCACGGCCAGGTGCGGGGCTGGCATCCTTGGGAGGAGCCATGGTGACCCCCGCAGTGCGGATTCCCGGAGGCCTCGGGCGGGGAGCAGGGGCCAAAAGCCACTGGGTGCAGGATGTGGTGACACCAGCACACCCACTGACCCCTGGGCTTTTGAACCACACACATTTATGTCTGGAGGCCAGAAATCCCCAAGGAAGGCGTCTGAATGTTCAGATGTTTCTCCCATGGATCTGGGGAACCGGCCACCTGGGGCTCCCGGGGAGACCCTCCTGCCTCTGCCTGCTGCCGGGGCTCCAGGCGGCCCCATCACTCCCCGCTCTGCCTCTGCCTCCATGCGGCTGCTGCTCTGTCTCTCGGGAGGAGTTGGATTTCGGCTTCACCCCGCCTAAGACCCTCGGGTTAATCGCACCTGCATGGTCCTTATTGCCAAGCAAGGTCCTGCTGCACGCGCATTTCTGCGAGTGCAGGGAACTCTTCCACCTCCCGAGGGCCTTCCTGAACTTTGACTCGGCTGGGCCTTTCTCCTCGCCTCCCCTCCGGGGTGCTCCGTGCTCAGCTCAGACCCGGCAGTTTTCGCCAGGGCTTTGTTTCCCAGCCTCAGCTTTGACAGCCGTCTTCTCAGTGCCTCTTAGCCAAGCGCCCGGCTTCCGTGACGCTGGGCCCTGTGCCCCTGAGCTCCCGGGGCGTGGACGGGGATGGGGGACAGCTGGCCGCCCTGGCCCCGTGGGCTCCCCCGGGCAAGCAGGTCTCGCTCCCAGTGATTGCTCCCCCAGACCTGCTTGCTTCTCCCTGAGGACTGCTTGGCGCCTCTGGCTGCAGGGCGGTGACAGCAGGCAGCCCCTGCCCGGACAAGCTGTCCTTGGCAGACGCGGACAGACACCGTCCTGCATGGAAGAAAGCACAGGCCTGCTAGCCACACCACCCCTCCGCTGCCTGGCCACTGGAGCAAGGGCTCGAATCCAGCACGCAGCTCCGCCTGCTCACGTCTGCATCCCACACGCTGCCGCCTGGGTCCCCCGTGCGCCCTGCGTTCCCCCAAGCGCCTTCTGACCCTGTTTGTCTCGCTGCTTCTTAGCAGGTGCCCACGCCTGAGCCCACGCCAGGATGGAGGCCCGAGCGCCGGATGGCTCTGCGGCGGACCTCAAGCTGGTGGCTCACCCTCGCGCAAAGAGCAAGGTCTGGAAGTACTTCGGCTTCGACACCAACGCCGACGGCTGCATCCTGCACTGGAAGAGGATCTACTGCCGCATCTGCATGGCCCAGATCGCGTACTCTGGCAACACCTCCAACCTGTCCTACCACCTGGAGAAGAACCACCCCGAGGAGTTCTGCGAGTTCATCAAGAGCAACACGGAGCAGATGCGGGAGGCCTTCGCCACTGCCTTCTCCAAGCTCAAGCCGGAGGCCTCCACGTGCGGCCCGCAGACCCCGCCCGATGCGGCCATGGCGGCTTCGGCAGGCGTCAAAGCCGGACACGGCCTGGACAGCAAGAGGCAGCACGACCTCTCGGCCGCTGTGCTGGGGCTCATCTGCGACGGGCTGTACCCCGCATCCATTGTGGATGAGCCCACCTTCCGGGCACTGCTGCGGACGGCTGAGCCCAGGTATGAGCTGCCGGGACGCAAGTTCTTCACAGGCAAGGCCATCCCGGAGCGGTGCGCGGTCGTGCGCCACGCGGTGGCCAAGGAGCTGGCCGAGATGCCCTGGTGCGGCCTCTCTGCCGACACGTGGACGAGCCACAGCCAGAACCGCACCTACGTCACGCTGGCTGCCCACTTCCTGGCCGCGGACACCCCCGGCTGCCTGGCGCTGGGCTCCCGCTGCCTGAAGACCTTCGAGGTGCCGGAGGACAACAGGGCGGACAGCATCACGCGGGTGCTGTACGAGACCTTCGTCCAGTGGGGCATCAGCTCCAAGGTGGTGGGCGCCACCACGGATGCAGGCAGGGACATTGGCAAGGCCTGCTCCCTGCTGGACATCGCGGTGCAGATGCCCTGTCTGGCCCACACCTTCGAGGCCGCCGTCCAGCAGGCGTTCCGGCTGCCCAAGCTGGCCGGGCTGCTGGCGCGCTGCGGCCGGCTGGTGGAGTATTTCCAGCAGTCCCCGGTGGCGCTGTACATGCTGGGCGAGAAGCAAAAGCAACAGGGCTCCGCCGCGCCACGCATGCTGCGGAGTGCCCGCGTGGGCCGCTGGGGCAGCACGCTGGGCATGCTGCAGCGGCTGCAGGAGCAGCAGTTCGCGGTGGCCGGTGTGCTGGTGGAGGACAGCAACAACCACCACCTGATGCTGGAGGCCGCCGAGTGGGCCACCGTGGAGGGGCTGGTGCAGCTGCTGCAGCCCTTCCAGCAGGTGGCCGAGGTGCTGTCCGCCTCCAGGTACCCGACCGTCAGCATGGTCAAGCCGCTGCTGCACATGCTGCTGACCTCCACGCTGACCGCCAAAGACACAGACTCCAAGGAGATCAGCATGGCCAAGGAGGTCATCGCCAGAGAGCTGGCCGGTGCCTACCGGGAGCCGCCCGACGTGGACATGTTCCTCAACGTGGCTACCTTCCTGGACCCGCGCTACAAGCGGCTGCCCTTCCTGTCGGCCTTCGAGAGGCAGCAGGTGGAGAAGCGTGTGGTGGAGGAGGCGGAGGCGCTGCTGGAGAAGGCCAAGGACGGCTCCTTCGAACCCCAGCCACCGCCCGAGGACAGGGTCTGCCCGGCCGCGGTGTCGGAGGAACCTGCGGCCAAGAAGCCTGCGCTGGCCGCGTCCAGCAGCATCATCCACGACATGCTGGCCGAGATCTTCTGCCAGACAGGTGGTGCGGACGCACAGGAGGAGCGGCACGCGCAGGTGCTGGAGGAGCTGAGTAACTTCAAGTCGCAGAAGCTGCTGGCCCTGCACGAGGACCCGCTGCGCTGGTGGGCCGACCGCCGCGCGCTCTTCCCGCTGCTGCCCCGCGTGCTGCAGAAGTACTGGTGCGTGGCGGCCACCCGCGCGCCGGCCCAGCGCCTGTTTGCATCCTCCGCCAACGTGCTGAGCACCAAGCGTAACCGCCTGTCACCGGCCCACGTGGACCAGCAGATCTTCCTCTACGAGAACGCGCGCTGCCAGGGCGGCAGTGCCGGGGTGGACGCCGAGCTGGAGGAGGAGGATGAGGGCGACTGGGGCGTGGACCAGGAGCAGCTGGACCCTCTGGGGGACACTGGGGGCGGTGGCTTCTTCGGAGGGAGGGATGCCAGCCTCCTGTAGGCCTGGGGAAGGGTCTCGGGGTGCTGGCTGCCTGACACCCCAGAGGCAGCCCCAGTGCAGCCACAAGAAGGAGCAGAGAGACGCACGCCGGAGCCAGGCAGCAAGTCTGGCTTTCCCTGCTTGCTCTGGGCACCCAAGAGGGGCACCCCGAATGCCCCCCACACGAGCTCGGGGTGCCCCTGGGATCCTTAGGGTGTAAGGCCAGCAGAGCTTGGGTGGAGGACTTTGGATGGACGCTGAGACCCGCACGGAACAGACAGACAGCTCAAGGAGGGAGGGAGAAAGGGTTTTGCAGAAGCACAGAGGCTTTGAGAGTGTTTTGCAGAAGCACAGAGGCTTTGAGAGGGGTGTGCAGAAGCACAAAGTCTGAGAGGGTTTTGCAGAATCACAAAGTCTGAGAGGGTTTTGCAGAAGCACAGAGGCTTTGAGAGGGTTTTGCAGAAGCACAGAGGCTTTGAGAGGGGTGTGCAGAAGTGGGAGGGAGGCTCGGAGAGGAAGGAGGCGGGTTGGGGTTCTGGTGTCAGCGCCAGCCGCAGTGTGAGACGCGTGTGGGACAAGCGCTGTAGCTCTACACCCGGTCTCGCCCCAGAAGGGTTTGGGATGAGGACAGGGCCGGCAGGCAGCGGACAGAGGCAAAGCTGCTTCCCCAGCAGAGCTCAGCGGGAAGATCGGAGGCGGGGGTGGTACCTTTGTGGCTGTGTTGCTGGGAAGCCCTGTCTCTCCCCCGCCCTGCGGAAATCCGTCCCGTGCAACGTCCTCCGAGCCTTGGTTTGTGGCCCTGGCTGCCCAGGCCGTGGTTTCATTTTCCAAGAATCCTTTCTTCCCCCCAGGGTGAGAGTGGCAACCCTCCCTACGTGCGGTGCGGCGTCTTGAAACTCGCTGAAGGCCAGCTTTGCAGCGTAGAGGGCCAAGGCGGGACATCCCAGGCGCCGTAGATTTTCAAAAGGAAGCGATGGAAATTTTCTTGTTCCCCGAGATGTGGAAAGGAGAAACACCAACCTACCCTCCTTTTTGAAGGGATGTCCCAGCGCTCTGCGAGGCGGAAGCAGGGGAATCTCAAGTTGGAGGGCAGCCTGGGCAACTTCTGCAGCTCCCTAGGAAAATGAGGATCGCCCCAGCCAGCTGCCTCTCTGTCTCTCCTCTTTTTTTCAAAAAAAATTTTTAAAAAAAACCTACAGTCACTAGCACTCGCCTTTACCTTCTCTTGCGTCATGTAATGCTTTAAAAATTGACTCCTGTTCCGTACACCGAAGAAATAAACCAGCTGCTAACGAATGCATCTGGCGTGTTTGCATTTGTATGGTCTTTCCTTTGGGCAAACGTCTGACCTTGGGAGAGGATTTTTGCCCTTGTGAGACGCAGACATCTTCACAGCAGAGTAGTACTCCACGGTGTGCAAATAGCACCTTTCCTTTATCCATTTATCTGCTGCCAGACACAGAGGCCGCTTTCAAGATTCAGCTGTTTAGTTGTGCTGCTGTACATGGGATCATTGGAATACGATGCCTCTTAAGTCTTGGGGAAGATAGCTAGAAGGGAAACAGCTGGGCTGAATAGAATTTCTGGTCTTGGTGTTTGCTGCAGTCTGCAGGCCGATCTCCATGGTGGTTGTACGGTTTCCACCCCACCTACAGCGTAGAAGGGTCCGGGCGTTTGTAATTATTTCATGTCGCGATGCTACTGCGCCATGAAGCAGGATAAACTCGAGCCGTGTGTGGGGAAATGGCTGCACCTCGAGACCGTGCCGTGAAGTGAAATAAATCAGACGCACGCGCTTCCGTGTCGCGTGGTTTCTCTCCTGTGAGAATCACGAAGTGTCAGTGAAGAGCAAAGCAAAAGAGAGACCATGGCGTTTGCAGATGGGGAGGGGACCGGGAATGGAGGGAGGGGGCTGAGTCCCGGAGGTGTGGTCTTCTTCCAAAGTGCATTTTCAGGACGTTTCTACGTATGATTCCGCATCTCCCTCCTACGTGTCTGTTATTTCTTCGATCCCACCTCGTCATGCTTGAAAATCTGTTGGGGGAAACATCGACAGTCTTGTTAGCCCAGCACTCAGGAGGCTGAGGCAGGAGGATCACTGTGAGTTCAAGGAGACCTGTCTCAAAAACCAAAAAAACCCAAATAACAATAATAAGAAGAAAAAGGCATGAGGATGTCATAGGTGAGATATGAACACTACCGTTTTATGCAGGAGACTTAAGCATGTGTAGATTCTGGTTACGATAACCCGGAGATGTATTCATTTTTTGTGGAACTGGACAAAGCTAACTGGGTTTTCCCTGAAGGACCTTCAGGCTTGTCAAAAGTTTTCTTTTCTGTGTTTGGTTTTTTGAGATAGGATCTCACCATGCAGCCTGGGCTGGCCTTGAGCTCACAGTGATCCTCCTGCCTCAGCCTCCCGAGTGCTGGGATGACAGGCGTGCACCACACCCGGCCACAGCAGTTTCTTACAAAGACACGTCCCGTAAGCCGTGCCTGCACTGCACACATGTGTGTAGGGATACAGAGATGTTCACAGAGATGCTTGTGTGCGTGCGTACACACGTGAGCATTGCTGGTTGCATGTGTGAGCTCACATGCGTTTCCCACTACCACACATGTGTTAGTGTGGATCTCTGAGGTGTGTGTGTGTATCTGCATCACAGTGCATATATGTGTGTGTTGTACAGTACATGTGCATATTTATGTAATTCCTAGCACAACATACACCATGTGCATATTAGTGTATATTTGTGTCTGGATGTGTGTGTGAGTAGACATCACAGTATATATGTGTGTCACTGTGCATATTTATGTAATTCCTACTGCCACTCACACATACATGTTAATGTGTATTTGTTGTGTGTATTGTGTGAATATGTATATCACAGTATGTATATGTCTCACAGTATTTGTGTGAGTGCATGCATAGATAAGAGTTCTCAGTACCATACACATTAATGTATATTTGTATGTAGACATACTTACCCGTGCGCAAACAGTGTGTATCATAGTTTATATGTATAAAGCCATAGTGTGTTTATATGCCTGCATAATAGTCCCAGTATGGCACACACATATACATTTATATGTAGCTGTATGTGTGTAAATGTATATATCACAATATATCTATGTATCACAGCATGTATATATGCGTGCACATATAATTTTTAGTTCTACACATACGTGTATTTGTATATAGGTGTATATGTGTGAGCATAAATATATCACAGTATATATGTGTGTCACAGTATGTATATATGTGTGTATATAATTCCAAGTACTATACACACATATGTATGTATTTGTGCATGGAAGTATATGTGTGTAAATGTATGTGTCACTGTATATATGTATGTATATATATGTGCATATATACAACTAGTATGGCATACACACATAAGTGTGTTTGTATATATGTATGTAATATATATATCACAGTATATATATGCATCATGGCATGTATATGTTCATATATAAAATATATAATTTTTCAGTACTACACACGTTTGTATATAGGTATATATATGTATAAATGTATATTTTACAGCATATGTATGTATCATAGTATGTATGTATGTGTATATATAATTCCTAGTATTATAAACACATATATGCATGTATTTGTATATAGAGGTATATATGTGTATGAATATATATATTGTAGTGTATATCTATATATCACAGTATCTATATGTGTGGATATTTAATTCTTAGTATATATATGCATGTGGAAGTACATAAGTGTACAAATGTATGTATCATAGTGTACATGTCACAGTATGTGTGTGTGTGCATATATATATAATTCCTAGTACCGCGCACGTATACATGCATGTGTTTGTATATAGGTGTATATGTGTGTGTAAATGTATATGTCATAGTGTAAATGTTCCAGTATGTACAAGTGTGTACACATACACCTATGTAATTCCTAGTACCACACACACATGCATGTTTATACGTAGGTGTGCATGTGTGTAAATATATATATCACAGTATGCACATCTATATATGTGTAATTCTCAGTACTGTGCATATGTATATATGAATGTAGATATACATATGTGTGACATGATATATATATATATATATGTACACACATACTATGGACAAAATCACAAATCATTTTAAGATCATAATTGGCTTCATTTTTGATTGTGGGATTGGCAGCATTCCATTCCATCCTAGGAAGTAGAATAAATACTCCTCTGGGCTGGTTTTAAAGAGAAGATGGCTGAATAGAGCAGAGAGAATTGGGGGGGGTGGCACAGGCCTGTAGTCCCAGCCCTTTGGGAGGCTGAGGCAGGAGGATTGCAAGGTGGGACCTAGCCTGGGTAACTTAGTGAAATCCTGTCTCAAAATAAATAATAATAATAATAATAATTAATAATGTGATAAAAGGAGTCAAGATGTAGCTCAGTGCAAAGGCTCAGGGTTTCATTCCCAGTACCACAAAAATATATTAAAAAGAACCAAATGGCAGACTGGCCATTTCCAGTTTCCTTTCCTGGAGAGGCAGGGACACGGAGATGGAATAATAGGAAAATCAATGATCAGTGTGGTGTTAGGCATCTTTACCTCCCAGTGACAGAACACTTGGGACAACCAGCTTAGAGGAGGAAAGGTTTAATGTGACTCATGGTATCAGAGGGTTCAGTCCATGATCGGCTGCTCCAATGGCCTCAGAGGGTTCAGTCCATGGTCGGCTGCTCCAGTGGTCTCAGGGGGTTCAGTCTATGGTCGGCTGCTCCAGTGGTCTCAGAGGGTTCAGTCCATGGTCGGCTGCTCCAGTGGTCTCAGAGGGTTCAGTCCATGGTCAGCTGCTCCAGTGGTTTCAGGGGTTTCAGTCCATGGTCGGCTGCTCCAAGGCAGGAACATAATGGTGGATGGGTTTGGTGGTGGAAAGATGCTCACGTGGTGGTGGCTGGAAAGCAGAGAGAAGGGAGAGACCAGGATTCTAATATACTCTTCCAGCCCATGCCCCCCAATGACATCACTTCCTTGCACTAGGCTCCACCTCTTAAAGGCCCCATACCACCAGGGACTTGGGCCCAAGTCTTCAACATGGTCCCTTTGGGGGACACTCCAGACATAAACCAGATGACTTGGGGTTCCTTTTAGGACTCAGGCAGTGGGAACGTCACTGTGAGGCACGTTGGGTGACCCTGCTTGGGTCCTGTCTGCTGAGTTCTAGGCAGGAGCATTTCAGTTTGGGGAAGGGAAGTTTGGTCTGTCTACCAGCTCGGGCATCACACAGGGTCCCAAAGCCACGGCTGGATTCCTGTAATTTTTATGTAGGACACACAGCATTGTTAGCTCATGACTGCATGAACAGAGAAAAACAAGACAAGCCAGGTAGAGGGGCACATTTTTGCAGTCCCAGCTACTGGGGAGGCTGAAGCAGGAGGGTCCCAAGTTCAAGCTCAGCCTGGGCAACCTGGCTCCTGAATGAGACCCTGTCTCAAAAGATTAAAAGAGGCCTGGGGATGGGGCTCAGTATGAAGGCGCTGGGTTCGATAACAGAACGGCAAGAAAAGAAAGAAAACAAAAGAAAAAGAGAGAGAAAGAAAGAAAGTCAGGATTATTCTGGTTCTGATTATTGGGTTCTATGCTCGTCTGATTTATGTGATTTTGTACTTGCCTCCCCATCCGACACAGGGAGAGAAAACTCTTTATTTTGTTCAGGTAGAAAGGAAAGGAAAACTTGTATTGAAGTCTTCATTAGTGGCTGGGGGAGTAGCTCAGTGGCCAGTGCCGGCTTAGCCCTGGCTTCTAATCGTAGAACTGGAAAGATGAAAATGATGATGATGATGATGATGATGATGATGATGATGATGATGATGATGATGATGATGATGATGATGACAAAAAGAAACAGGACCATCCGTGGCATTGGACACACACACACAGAGTTGTTGCCCTGCCCACTCCAGGCTGGGACTGGGATCGCTCTTGCCTGGTTGCTGGATTCTTTTCTTTTTTTCTCTCTTAATTCTCCGTATTTGCAGCTCATGAAGTTCCCGTTCATCTTTGGGAGTGGGTGGATGCATGTAACAGCTCAACGATTCTTTTATTTCCCTTCCTTGTGTCCATTTTATTATCATTATTATTGTTACTGTTTTATATATATACTATATAGTTATTACTGTTATATATGTAACTATTATTACTATTACTATATAAAACATATTTGTATATTATATAGTATATTATTACTGTTACTATACATACAGTATATATACTCTATATAATTACTGTGACATAATAATTATTATTACTGTTATTTAGCTCTTGTGT